TTCTTTATCCTTGACTCATTAATCCATTCCATCCAAAACAAATCTATTCAACTTGAAACTATCAAACCAATGTGGTTGTACGAGAGTTGATGAACCAAATTTTCACAAACAATTACAATAAGGATTTGTCATGTCACTTCTTTTACACTTCTTATCTGCACAAATTCTACAATATTAAGTGAATCTTTAAATTGGAAATAAGCTAGGATTAAAAAAAAAATTAAAATGCAGTCCATGTGTCTAAGTAGTTTACAACATCTGACAAAAAAAACATTACGTGCACTATAAATCATAATGATAAGACCAGAAGTTATTTAATCCANATTAATTTATGACTTAAATTTTGATATCGAAAAATTATTTTTGGGTATTATATTTTTATTTTGTATTCAATCAAAACATGACATTTGGCAAGACATGTTATGCTATTGTGTTTTTTATTTAATTATTTTTAAGATTACTAGTTACTAGTTGGTTCACTTAAGCATTGCATATGAGTCATTTTAAATATCAAATAGCATATATCACTCGAGCAAAAATTACATAATATTTGTATTATTCAAATCATCATAAAACATGAATGTAGAACATTATAATTCTAGTGTTATATACGATAGAAAGAAAAATTACATTTCAAAAATATTATAATTATTTACACACTATTTTACGTTATAGATGTGAATATGCTTAAGCAAATGATTTTAATTCTTCAAAATCATTAAAACATGCAACATGCCTTTGTCGGTACAAGATATTACAATATCTCATGACACATTCAGTTTCACATTCTTTTTCTCCTACACACATGTAGTAAAACAAATTTTCAGATCCTAAACTATGGACACATGCGCATACTCAAATTATTGAAATTAACAGTGTTGTCTAACCAAATGGAGCCCAGGAAGAAATTAATATAGATCATATGCATGATCACTATCAAAATATAATATTTGCATCATGATTTCTTTATCCTTGACTCATTAATCCATTCCATCCAAAACAAATCTATTCAACTCGAAACTATCAAACCAATGTGGTTGTACGAGAATTGATGAACCAAATTTTCACAAACAATTACAATAAGGATTTGTCATGTCACTTCTTTTACACTTTTTATCTGCACAAATTCTACAATATTAAGTGAATCTTTAAATTGGAAATAAGCTAGGATTAAAAAAAAAATTAAAATGCAGTCCATGTGTCTAAGTAGTTTACAACATCTGACAAAAAAAACATTACGTGCACTATAAATCATAATGATAAGACCAGAAGCTATTTAATCCAAAGGACCCAAAATTATTGTATGTACACAACAAGGAAAACCCAAAAAAAAAAAAATCCCAAATAAGAAATAGAGATAGAGGGACGAACAACAAAAACAATGAAATCGAAAAAATCATGGGAGCTGTGCCGTTGAACCAAAAACAAAGGTATCAATCCAAGCAACACGGGAAACATATACTTGCCTAAATCCAAACGCTATCACCAACAAAAACATACCCTTGTTTGAAATCCAATGTCTTTAGGATAGATTATAACCACTATAATCTTTGTATATCGAGGAAGAGAAAAAACTAAGATAAAAATACAAAATTAATCAGTGAAAATTATCAAACCTATAACAATTCGAAAATCGAATTTGATGATTCATTAAAATGATGGTTGTAGTTTTTGTCAGCAGCTGCAAAAGAGAAGACGAAGTTGATGGGTATTTGTTGGTGAGAAAAATATCTGACGGGTATTTTTAGTGACTTTTTAGCCCTTTTTAACTTCAATCTATGGAAAGCTTTGATAATTGTCAAATAACTTCCACCCATTTTTTATTTTTTATTTTTTGTAATGGAGTTACGAAACTCCAAGAGTTTCAATAACAATCAGGTTTCCATAATTTAAGTGATGTTGTAATTTAACTCAAGCAAGTAACTTAATTAGGTTGATAAAAAAAAGTTGCTAATAGCTCAATAAAAAATTAGTGCAGTAGATAGCTTAATTATTTAATTACGATAATTAATCTAGTACTAATTTAACTTTATACAATTGTTTGAGGGTAATGATGACAATTTTTTTATTTTTTTTGATTTAGTAACCTTTGAAGAGTAGTGTAGATACAAATATAGATATAGATATATAGTATAGATATAAATTTAGATATAGATAGATAGAAATATAGGGGAAGATGAACAATCTTTTAAGAGTTGTATCCCTCTATCTATCTTGTTTCATAAATTAATAATTTAATGGAGAAATTAGAACATGAGGAGTATGTCATAAATGATATTAATACAATAAATAAAAGGTGTATTATATTATCTTTATAATATATTTATTCATGGTAGTTTAGATAATTAAGAAATGTTAGAGAGTAAAAGAGGAAAATAAAAGTTTTTCAAAGATACATACTTTTTAAAGTAGTATAGATATAGATAAATAACTCAAATCAAGATCAATGAATAAAGATCATTTTTTAATATGTCACCAAAATTTTTTATTTGGGTACAGAGAAGTGTCCGGGTGGTAAGCATGTCAAGATTCAAAGAGACTCCACGTCCAACTAATTCATTCTAGTTATCTTCGACCACCTTTAAGAACATCCATGAGAGAGAGAGAGAGAGAGAGAGAGACCATAGCCTTGTCCTTAGTCCAGATGCATTGTTTGGATATCTGAATATAATATTTGTACCTTAATTTGGTAATGCAATTAATGATTAACAAGTTCAACAAACTCACCACTTATTTTAGTATGCAATTGATGATTTACTACAAATCCAATGTGTTCGAATTAAGATTGTTTTTGGAAGGGGGGTTACGCCCTCCTCTGCAACGCTTTTACTCTAATGTGTTTTGTCTAATTTTATTTTATTTTTCAGTATCACTGGTGGACTCTGCATGAATTTGGAGCACAAGCCATTATGGAGGTGTTGAGCTTGAAAATCAAATCAACCAGCAATGAGGCATCACAAAATTGGTTAGACTTAGATTGACATTCACATTAATGCTGGATTAGGTACTTACATGGCCCTCACCTTCTAAGCAGTATGCAGTTTGAAGAAAGCTTGAACGATTATGGTACCAAATTTAATACCGTACCAAAGATTACTAAAAAATAAAAACTCTATTTACATCAAATTAAAACAATAAAAGTTAAGAACGNAATAAAAGTTTTTCAAAGATACACACTTTTTAAAGTAGTGTAGATATAGATAAATAACTCAAATCAAGATCAATGAATAAAGATCATTTTTTAATATGTCACCAAAATTTTTTATTTGGGTACAGAGAAGTGTCCGGGTGGTAAGCATGTCAAGATTCAAAGAGGCTCCACATCCAACTAATTCATTCTAGTGATCTTCGACCACCTTTAAGAACATCCATGAGAGAGAGAGAGAGAGAGAGAGAGAGACCATAGCCTTGTCCTTAGTCCAGATGCATTGTTTGGATATCTGAATCTAATATTTGTACCTTAATTTGGTAATGCAATTAATGATTAACAAGTTCAACAAACTCACCACTTATTTTAGTATGCAATTGATGATTTACTACAAATCCAATGTGTTCGAATTAAGATTGTTTTTGGAAGGGGGGTTACGCCCTCCTCTGCAACGCTTTTACTCTAATGTGTTTTGTCTAATTTTATTTTATTTTTCAGTATCACTGGTGGACTCTGNTTTTTTGGAAGGAGGGTTACGCCCTCCTCTGCAACGCTTTTACTCTAATGTGTTTTGTCTAATTTTATTTTATTTTTCAGTATCACTGATGGACTCTGCATGAATTTGGAGCACAAGCCATTATGGAGGTGTTGAGCTTGAAAATCAAATCAACCAGCAATGAGGCATCCCAAAATTGGTTAGACTTAGAATGACATTCACATTAATGCTGGATTAGGTACTTACATGGCCCTCACCTTCTAAGCAGTATGCAGTTTGAAGAAAGCTTGAACGATTATGGTACCAAATTTAATACCGTACCAAAGATTACTAAAAAATAAAAACTCTATTTACATCAAATTAAAACAATAAAAGTTAAGAACATCTCTAATCTTTAATCAAATCAAGAAAAAAATTTATCCTGAACCCAAATTGAAAGAGACTCAAAACTTATATCTAATTTTCAGTAGTAATTTTTTATCGGATCAAATTCTTGCCTCTCCGCCTCTATCTTCTAAGCCTCTGTCTTCGCTGTTGACCACTTTACCTATACTTGCCTCTATTTTTTAACGATAATTTTTTACTCTCTCTCTCTCTCTCTCTCACACACACACACACACACCCTCAATAAAAAGCTTATGAATCAACCACTCAAAGAGGTAACTTTTCCTACTCTTTCTTTTGGTTAATATTAGTTAAGTTTGTAACAAATAAGTTTTAATATTGGATAAAATGTCTTGATACGAAAAAATTAAAAAAAAAAAAATGAATGGGACAGTAAAGAAATTTTTTTAAAACATTTTAGTAGATATTTGAATTTGTACATCAAATCACAAGCTTTTTACACAAATTTGAAGATGCTCTAAATTACTGCTAAACAAGGTCAGGATCGATCCACAATGTTAGGATCCATCCTGATCCTACTCGTGAAGATTGATTCTAANGTTTGATAGGAAAAAATTAAAAAAAAAAATTAATGGGACAGTAAAGAAATTTTTTTAAAACATTTTAGTAGATATTTGAATTGTACATCAAATCACAAGCTTTTTACACAAATTTGAAGATGCTCTAAATTACTGCTAAACAAGGTCAGGATCGATCCACAATGTTAGGATCCATCCTGATCCTACTCGTGAAGATTGATTCTAAATTATCCCATTTTCTCATAACTTTCCCACAATAAGTCCCAATCTCACCCTATTTTTCTGTAACCATCGGTATTATATCAATAGGTGAACCTTATTCATCATACTGTGAAACTTTTTTCAATACCAATCTCATAATTTTAGTGAAAATTTGAAGAAAACATGAAGAACAGAAGAATCCATCAGTAAAGCACTAGTGGGCTGCTATGGATAGCTTAAGATAATACCTCCAAAGAATTCAGTTATTAGAGACTGTTTCTCAAATTTGCAAGATATGATGTGATCAAGCAAGTTCAACCCAAATACTCAGCCCTCCTGGTTGAGACAACAGACAGAATCCACTTTGATGCAACATACAATTTAGTACAAGGATGTTATTCACAATGTAAAACACAAATACTGGTGCCCCGCACGATCACTACATCTAGAACAAGCAGTATTTGTTAGGTATTACATTGTCGAAGCTTTAGCGAAACTCGAAAATCTGGACAACTCATCCTGCAGAAGAACCTGTGGGTTTCCTTGTTCAACCTGCACAGGGCAGGGGAAAAATAAAAAGAAAAGGTTAAAGAACCAAAGTACCTCATTAGTGACAAATCAATTTTAAAACTGATATATCTTATTGCTTCATACATATATAGTTCCTGGCATATAAAAGTGGTTACTCTTGTCTAAAACACAATTTATGTAACCCATTGTTAGAGCATTCAATTCAAAACTAATTAACAATGAGTGAAGTAGTCCCTCAAGCATATAAAGCAACCTTGTGTGATCCTAATCATGCAATGTGGGACACAAGTTCTATTTAAATCCTCCTAGATGTGGGACTTGGGCGCACACATAGGGCTAATAATACAAATAAACAACCATGCAAATAATAAGAGACTTGGCTACTAACCATCCAAGACTCAGCTCTGATCCCATGATAGAACATTCAACTCAAAATCAATTGATAATGAATGGAGAGACTGCTTAAGCATATAAACCAACCTTGGGAGGTCCTATCATTCAATGTGGGATACAAGCTTTTTTTACACCCTCCCTCATGTGAGACCTACGCTCACACATGGGACTAACAAACACACAAACATGCATACCACAAATTCACATGGGGTATTAGACTTGACCAACGGACAACCCAAGACCCAACTTTGATAGCAAGTCAAATTATCCAACTCAAAACCAATTGGTGAGAAGTGGAGTAGCCTTTCAAATATATAAACCAACTTGAGTAGTCCTAAGCATTCGAGTTGGATGCTCTAAGGTTGGTTTAAGGAATCTCTCTACCCATTGCCGATTGATTTTGAGTTGGATGATCTAACATTCATTAAAAATTATAGCAAAATAACTCGAGAAATATTTAGCCAGATACTGAGTAAGGGAGCTATTCATAGGCATGCTAAGGCCTCTTTCCCAGTGGTTAGAGGAAGCGAGACTAAAGGCATGAATTAAGCCCAGAACAGTATCATCACCGCCTGATGTACCGTCCAACCCCACCATCATATCAAGAATGCATTAACTAAACATATTTGGTATATGCCTAAACTTTTTAAGGCAATGACAATATTTTCAGATCCAGTCCAAACCCTGGGTTTAATTCTTCTTGAGTAGCCTCTTCAATCTCTTAAGTCTATAAAGTTCGGAGGCTATTTTAACCAGAACAAAAAACAAAATGACAAGCATACCAGGGTCCCTTTATCAAGAATCAAGATATTGTCCATGTTTAAAACTGTGGAAATGCGGTGAGCAATTGTGATCACCGTCATGCCTCTGCATTCACTAGCTATCACATTCTGTAGTTTCGAAGCTGTTTGAGTGTCTACACAGGCTGTGCATTCATCCAAACATAGGACCTGAAATTTTGATATAGTTAGTATACTCTCTCTCTCTCCACCCCCCCCCCCCCCC